AGTAATAATTTTTGATGTAACCAATAATCAAGTATAGTTCCCACTATTGATCTGACAAGTCAGAAAATATTAATTACTATGGCTTGGGGAAACTTCAAGATGTACATTAATATTTAGTAATGTGGAGCCTGAACGTTTACACATGCCTCGAACTCAACCTTAACCATGTCTATCAGTTTGTAGTCCTAACATGCCTTACCCTGACACCCATCCATTATAAGACACTAAAGGAGCGAGTGGTATGTAGTCTTTTCATACCTGGAGGATCTGTTGAGAGCAGCAGCTGAGGGTGGTGGAGGCCGTTCAGGTTTGGTGGGAGTGGCCTGTCTATGTGCTTCAGTGGGCGTCGAGGGTTGGTTCAAACCATAGGAGACACTGCTGCTGCAGGAGGCATTTCTCTGATGACTCAAGTCAGTCAGGCTGGATGAACGAGAGTGGCCAGTACTATAGCCTAAATAAGTGTATTTATGAAAAAGAACATAGATTAATTATACATTATTCAGTCATTCTACTGGTGATAGTAAGCTGGCCTGGGGGGGACCTGTGCCATTGGCGCCTCCAACCTTCACCATTCACTCGCACACCACATTCATACTGGGCAAGATGGGTGAAGTGTATTGCCTAAGAACATAACGACAGTTTTCACAAGAGCCAAAGCTCCCATCCAAGGACTGACCATTCTTGCTTAGTCTCTTTGCATTGTAAGATGTGCAGCAATAAAACCAGAATAAAAAAGTGGTATTTCATCTGCTAAATGAGCACACACCTAACTGATAGTTTATAACACTGAATTCAAATTATATTATATAAAAACACAAACAAACCTGATATCTTGCTGTGTTGACTGGCATAACTGGAGCTGCGAACATGCCGTGTGTGAAAGACATCCTCTGCAGTGGACACAACATCCCCATCCTCGGGCAGTCCTGAAATGCCAGAGTGTAAAGCCAATACAAGGAAAGCCGTAACGTATAAACTCATTCTTTCATTGAATTTTTGCTTCATTTATAGAATAACATGGTTGTGTTAATTCACCTAAGCTCCGCACTGATGACTGTCTTGGTTTAAAGTGGCGACTCCCCTCCAAAATGCCGCCTAGAGGAGAGGTCGGAGAAGCTTCCCCCTTACAGTCCAGCTGCAGGGATGCATCCACCTGTCCAATGGACAAAGATTTGGCTGTGCTGGGAGGCCTGTCAGTGAAGGCAAAAGTTATTAATAAATATTGCAATGAAAACAACATGTGATCAATTGTTTAAGCTTACGTTTTAAAGCAGGGATCACCAGAGAGAAGGGTCATCCCAATTGTTACCTATAAAGAAATATTTGTTAATATTCCACTATCATGTCTGTCTGTCATCATGTTTGATAATACGCCTTTGTTGTACCTTAAGAATGGAATTGTCCTGCCGAGTGTTCTTGGTGTCATAGCCTTCCAAGATGCAGCAGCGAACTGTGGAGCCTGAGCCAGCAAACTCCGCAATGTTGAGATCAGCAAAGCCAATCTGCATGCAGGCACACACAAGCACAATTCAGAGGTTTGTGATTTTTAACACTATATTATACAAGTGTCTAACTCCCAATCAGATAAGAGGAAGTAAACACAGCACAGAGCGAGAGAGAGGTCATTAACCTCTAGTAACCTTATCATCTACTATCTATGTAAGTCATGAGGATTTTAGGGTTTAATATGCTTTCAAAAGTGCACTATGTAACTTTTGTGGTAGATCAACTGCCACCAGCTTTTTTATTTTGCCTGAAATATTCCTTTGTATGGCATTAAACGTATCTATCATATGACACAAGTCCAGTCCACTCTGAACTTTAATTTCGGACACTAAAAACACCCATAATTAAATAAATGTGAGAAATGCCGTACAAGTTTAATGCCACTAGAAAAAGTGCATCTTTAAGTATATGTCCAATGGCTTTAACCATGAAAAAATAGCTAAAATGCAGATTTAATATTTACAATGCAAATGCACCCAAAACAGAAAGCCATCTTTGTTCTCTTTCCTGTGACTAATGAAGAAGAAATAAAAACACTTATTGCTTTCAAATATCTGGTGAGGAGAAACACAACAGACAGGTGGCTCTTGACTTATTCACACAAATGCGTGAACAAACACATCCAGTAACAGTCCATTAGAGACACAGTAATTATCCAATGACACTAGGGCATTACCATTACAGAGCTCTCATCTCTGTGATGTGGACAAGGCCAAACAAGTTTAACAGTCTGTTAAATGTCACTTTACAAGCCACTTTTATAGGCCAAGTTTAAGGGAATACACATCAAAATATGAAATATAAATGTACCTTTGAGAAGGCCTTTCCTCCTTTAAGCTCCTAGAAATAGTAAATAGTAAATGTTTAATAAAATGTGCATCAAGAGTATTAGAAAAATATCATGCAATCATGTCTTACCTTGCGCACAGAGACCCTACAGATGCAGGGGTCCAACACACCAGTGATGGTGTTTGCACTCATTTTACAAATAAATGAGAACTTTTTGCTCCATCGGACACAATTTTGCTGCACCTCCTCCCTGTAAATAAATACCACATCAGTTTGAAAACTACATGTATACATAGGTATACTCAATATATCACCAAATTAAACTGAAGTCACAAATGTTAATGTAATAGAGTTACAGTAGTATACAGTGTAGGTAAAATAATAGAACACACACAGAAGCACACTTCCTGCACTATTGCACTGTATTTAGAAACAATGATCTTTGGAAATCATGTTAACACCAGTGAACACAACTGAAGTGTGCCAAATGAGCTCATCTTGGGATGGGACATGTCAGAATAAAAGTGAAGCAAGGGATTTTCCACCAGCACATTCTGTGTTTATCTGCATGTAACAATAACATGGTTATTTTACAGAAAATATACTAATTCAGTGGAATCTAGATTAAAAATTATAAAGGGTTTGAGCTGTTGACTTAGTAGGTAGATCTAATTAAAACATGTACAAAAGATACAATACATTCCTGACACTTGTTATTTATTTGATTGGGACAGGTATAAAACCATAGATGCACTATAATATATGAATAATATAGCCAGAGCACACAGTTGAAGAAGTTTACAGTTACAGTTTAAAATGGCAGGATCATATTTTCAAATTCATGTTTTCAATGTTTATAGACAAAACAGCCTTGCATTTCACAAACACCTGGGTTATATTATGTAATCTGTAATTTACACAGAAAATGCCTAATTTTTTCATCAGATTATTATTAAATAATATAGGTAAAGGAAATATGCAGAGAGAAATGTAAGCATTTTGACTTGTTATGGAAGCCATACTGGTCTTAAATAAAGGCCACACTGGAAAACAGAAAGGTGTCATGAATAATTGTACATGGTGTTATACTTTGTCATTCTGGTAATTGCAGTCTGGTCAGATAATATTTAAAGCAATGTTGTGCATCATCTGCTGTACGCACTTGACTTACAGACCTCTTGGTCATGTCTTAACTTGACTAAAAAATTTGTCCCATGTGGAGAAGAACAATTTTGAGGAAAAAAAGAACTGCAAGAACGATTATTTTTGTGATTCATTGAAAAGTACAAAGTTTAAACAATTTCAGAACTATGAAAAGTTAGGAATAATAAAATATTAGCTACTTAGCTAATACAAGCATGCATGGCTTTCAGAACATGCTTGTTGAAGTCTAAACTACAGAGTTAGCTTCAGTCCTCATCCCATGTCCCATGCACATAGGATGGGCAGCACCTTGTTTTCCATTTGTTTGAAACATGAGTTTCATAACACACAAGTGCAGAGTAAGCCTAGTGTTCCACTGATAACAACTGTCCCTCATGCAGGAATGTCAATGAAGGAAGTGCTGACAGGCCACGTCTCAAAGTGTGCAGGCACCACACAAGAGAAGCTGAGTGCAGTCATGCCTGATTCCAGCCCTACTTCACTTCTCTTCACCACATAGAGGCCTTTTCTGTTTAGCAGTTGAGGTGAGGTTTTGAAGTATGGATTATATGCTGCATGCTGAGACAAGTACATCATTAACAATGAAACTACAAAGCTTTTAAAGCTCTCAAATCTATTGAAACCTGTTTTCACCAGTAATGGCAAAAATATACAATATTTACTAATTAGTTAAATTATGAGCCAACATTAACCTTGCCTAACACAGTCTAACATTAACCTTGCCAAACACAAAGAGAGGTGACCTGACGTTTAGGCCTAAGGGCTGTCTCCAGACAAATGCAAACTGGAAAAGACAGGTTTAGCCACTTCTTTTCTTGCAGTTCAACCCACCTGCCTTCAACAAACACGGCATTGTACACTGAGCAGATCCAGGCAACACTATCTCTCTCCCCAATGCAGGGCTTTATATGACTGAGTTGCCACACACAAGCGATTATTCAAACTATGTATTAAGGTAAATGCATACTTGTTAACTCCAATGTTAGATAAAGAAAATATATATAATTCAATAAAAACACAATCAGAGTTACAGAGACTCCCTCTTGTCAAACTTTCTTTTTTCAGTTGAAAAAATCCAAGGAATGAGCGCAGGCTGACACATGAATATTCCCACATGTTCAAGAGATGCCAAAGAGCAGGGAGTCTGTATGTAACTAACTTGTGCATGTAGTTCATAGATAACTGCTATGTAACACACAGGATTGTGACCAGGTTTGTGGTTAAGAAAGTGACGATCCAAAGGTGTTAATTACACTGAGCAAAGAGGGCTCTAAAAGAAAGACGCTCTGACATAACACAGTCAGGAAGTGAAATAAAAATGTTGAGAGGATGCTCTTGATTTACAAACAATACACACTGAAGACAAACATTCAAATTAGAACAGAGAATAAAGGTTCATTATTTTGTAAAAGAACATTACAGAGGTCTCAAATGTATTCAAGAAAAATTAATAAGAATTATACAGAAACAACAGCATCCTCAGCAACATGTTTTAATAATAAAACCCAAAGAACAATGAAGGTAACAAAAACTAGTGTAAACACACACATACAAAACAAAAAAAAATTCAAGGTTTTTGGGACACTTTTATTAGTGAGTGGCTGAATTTACTATTTATTTTCTTATTTACTGATGAGTTATGTTAGAGTTGCCATTATATATATAGTTAAAACCACACAGACACATTTTATAGCTGAAAAAAATGCAATGAGTCAAGTGATATTTGACATGGGCAAAGGTCAATATGTTTACCTCACAAACACACCCTCACTTAATGTAGTTAGTAACTCGTACTTTGCTGCACTTCACACTTGTAGTTGGTACAGATAAATTTTAAGTTTACAACAAAAATAATTCATTTTTATTACTATTCCTGTCCTTCCAGTGATCCCAATAAATTAGACTATGCATTTTATATCATGTTTTGAATGCATGTCTAAAGCAGTTTCCAAATGTGTTAGTAACTACAAACGAGATTATTTGTTAACACCAACACAACCAATATGTGATCTTGACCACACAACACAATGTAAAGTTTGTATGTTATAACCTTACACCTAATGTCTGTGACCTACAGGGTGGAGCTGGGAAACAGTTTGTGCACCACTCTCCCTAGAGCCACGAGGGTGGAATAAGATAAGTGAACTCCGGCCTGGACTGCTAGTGTATTTTGTACAGCTGTCAACAGACTTAGCAGGCTTTGGAAAACATGAATGCACGGTACCAGCACACCTATTAACTAATTTGTAACTGAAGATTAAACACATGTTTGAGAGGGGATCATAATGATGACTGTTACATATAATGTAAAAAAGACTAAGCCGGTGAAACGTACCTGGATGACAAGATGGCAAAGTCCCCACCATCAATGAGCCGAATCTTACAAAACAGCACCCCATTGACAAAAGGCACTGCTGTTAACTCCTCCAAGGTGAAATGGACTTGAAACTTAAACTTCTTCTTTTTCATCAAAAAAGACATGGTTCCGAGTAACTGGAGTGCGTGCACATTCAGGGCTGACCACTAACACTAAAAGCAAAAAACAAAATAACAATATTAATATACTGTATCCATTGTCCACATGTATTTATGCAAATAAATAAATAATCTATATCTCGCATTAGCAGGACCTGTTGTAAAATCAGCAATCAACCCAAAAGCCCCAAATGCAAAAAAAAATAAAAAAATATATATATATATATATATATATATATATATATATATATATATATATATATATATATATATATATATATATATATATATATATATATATATATATATATATATATATATATATATATATATATATGTCAAATAGAATGGTCTAATTATCAGGCCTACATGCATGCATATGGAAGAATGTGAAATTATGAAAATAGTTATTTTTGTCTAATGAAATTCTTCAAAACCATCAACTTGAGTGTGTTGAGCAGAAGCCAGTCGATAAACCGGAGTCTGCCACGCAAACGCTAAAAGCAACCCGCGAACATGATCGACTCGTAGCTCATTTACAAAACAAATCTACACAAATCTTACCGTTTTGTCGGTCAAGCGTAACAGTGAGCATTGCTGCAGACAAGAGGGGTCTGGGGCAGTGGTATTTTCTACCTTCCGCGCATCTCCACTTACTTTTTCCTTTTCAGCCTTGAGTTCAAGAGTCGCTCGATGCTTGAGGTGGGTTAGGGACCGTCCCTAAAAGAGCGCGTAGGCAGTGAAATGAGAGCTCAGTGGATCTATGGCTGTTGTGGGAATGGCAAATTCACCTATCAGCTGATCATATCCCTTTCACTTTCTAATGCAGAGCTACAGCGATGAGTTACTGAACATTAAGTATTTATCAGATAATTAAAATATAAATACTAAACACATAATAAATAATGATAAGAATAATTAAACAGTTTGAAAACCCTTTATAAAACGTAGTCAAAACAATGTTTTTCCTCGTGTTTCTCATACTAAGAGGACTTATAAAAACAATATATAGGTAAGAAATGTACCAAACAAAAATTATACAAAAATAAAAAAGGCAATTTAATGTTATTCCTGACAAAATACAAAACAAGTGGTAATGAGTGCAGGCCTGAACCACACTGACCTCTTGTGGCATGTTACAGAAATTACTTACAACCATCTGGTGCACAGATCTTTGCACATTTGAGATGATACTAGAGTACGATATAGTTTTTATCAGCCAATACTGATACTTGTCTTGTTGATGAGTCTCATAATCAATATTTGCTACAGATTAACCTTTGCTTTTAAAACTACATGTACATGTAGAAAAAATATCCACATGATTTAACAGTAAATATTACTGACATATAAAAACCATACACCAATATCGATATTAACACCGATATATCACACATCCCTATATGGGATACCACGGAGGTGTACTCATAGACTAAGGCAACAAGTTGAATACTTGCTAGTCTACAAATATTAGAATTGCAAGAAGTACAACTGTAGATAGTAACACCCAACTAGGCATTGCAACTAGTTAGTTAAACAAAATCACTGCACAAAAGCACAATGCAAATCTGTTGAACCAATCTACTGATTCTCATCACTTTGTTCTTTGGGGGGAGGTGGTGTTTTGGGCCTGTTTTGCTCCTCTGATCCTCCACCGTCCACTGTCCCAGCTCCTACAGTGCTGCTGCTGTTTGCCACATCAGTCCCGCTCTGTAAATATTTGCGTAGGTCCTTTAAAGCAGGTCTGAGCATCTGGACTAGAGCCAGAAGAGCAGCCTGTGTCCCTTCCAGAGCCTGTGCCTGTCTTTCCTGGGCAAACGCCTGAGCCTCCTGAGAGCGCCGCATCATCTGCAGCAGCTCGGTTTGGCCCTCCAGGTGTTGTGCAATCTGTCTGATGTGCACATTAGTAACACGCTGCTCCTGAAGCAGGCGTGCAGAGTTCAGAGCAATGCGACTCTTCAGCTCCTGCGGTTTGGCCGGAGTCTGAGGCTGTGGAGATTCAGAGGAGCCCAGCATCTCCACTGGAGCCTCCACTGCAGTCACCATGGTGGGAGTGGCGCCCTCTACTGTGGTGGTGCAGTACTCTACAACTCCAACTCCTGCGTCCTCCAATGAGTGGTATGTGGCTTCAACTGAAATAAGTCAACAGTAAGTTTTTGTTTTGATAAGCAGCTTATTCTGCATACGAAATACGTGACTGTCAATAAATAATCAAAAAAGTCTTACCATTTATAGACTTCGAGTCATCATCACATACAGAGGCTGTGCCAGCAGGTAGAGCTACAAAAAGAGAATAATTGAACAGAAAAATGAACATCATGGCTGGAAAGAAACATGAGAACAAACTTTTGGCATTCTATACAAAAATGTAATTACTTTCTGTGAGTGTGACAGCGGTCGCAGCGGTCACAGGTAAAGTTATCTCAGCATCCGAGTCCCCCGCAGGTATGCTGATGATTGTGGCCTCCCCCAAAAGATTACAGATCCGCTGTTGCATAGCCGTGAGGATGACGGGAACCGGAGTGCAGTCCGCTGACGTCCCCTCTATAGCCGCCCGTGCCTGGGCCACTTTTCGCCGTACCTCAGTCTTCATGTCAGACCACTTCTTTTTTACCTCTGCCAACTCCCTGGGACAGGTAGTCACAGCGTTCACCTTTTTCAGAATATCCACCCATGCTTGATTCTTTGCCATGTGTGTGACACCAGCATTGAAGTGGTTAACCAGTGTATGCTTTTGTTTCTCTATTTCCTCAACTATTATTTCCATCTCCCTGTCTGAAAAATTCATTTTTCTTTTTTTTGCAAGCGATGCCATTCCCGCACTATTCTTCTGAAGGTAGGTAATTGTGCGTATTGTACGCCAAAATACTAGGATTTACTCGATTTACTTAATCTAAGTGCGCAACGTAATGGCTTCCAGAATCGGCTTCTTCTTCCTCTGAACGACGCTTACGTATCTGCGCCGTGGTGCCGCCCACAAGAGCCTCCATTGGTCCAAATCTGGAGGAACCCTGGAATAATGCGCAGCCCTATTGGTGAAGCATTTCAATTTATCAATTTAGAAGGCCAATTATATTATTTTTAAACTCATCATTTCACCAGCTTCACAAAAAGTAGAAAGGATACAATATGACCGTAGCGTATAGTGAGAAATTAGGATCAACTGTAGACTAAAACTAAAAGTTAATCAAAATATCACATCTGAATACTAAATATATGTAATAATTGCCTATTAAAGACACATACACGTGTAATACGTACGTAGTTTAAATCAAGCTCAGGTGTATAATACATTGCTCTGCCCACTGACCGTGTACATCTATTTTTAAGCGTTTATTCATGATGGCTCCATAGCTTACCCATGCTTGTCCCTGGCTGCTGCTGCTGCTGCTGCTGCATTATACTAGCGTCATATTTGCATGGATGGCTGCTGGTTTCGATGTGTTCAGTCTCGCGTTACACTGCGAGATCTCGGAGTTGCCGCTCACTAATGGATCAACGATGTTAACGGCGCTTTCTCCTCGACGAATACCCCCATGAATTTTACCCACTAGTTTTGACTTCTCAACCTCGATATTAATTTGTCCAGTCAAGCTGTAACTTACCACGAACTCCACCTATGTGAAATTCGTCTGCCGGCATCTTTGTCTCTTCGACTGCCCGAAGCATCGCTATTCAAATACCCGGCATCTGCATCTGCGCTACCGGCAGAAATACTCTGGTTCTTGGGTTTTTGCCATTAACCGTCGACTTCACGGTAACTGAGCTCATAAATGTTGTAGGTTTGGACTTTTAAGCCCTGTCTAATTCTGAGGACATGTGACGTGGTGTGTAGGCTGAGCTGAGCTCAGGGCGGATGACCTGACGTGGTTTTGGTGACCAGGCGCTGGCCGCTTACACATGATGCACCAGCAGGGGTCATTGATGCCCCCTCTACTAGGTGATGTTTTCTGCCAGTGTCGATCCGGTGATCCGGCCGACCCCGGTGGTGCAGGAGGAGATGGGAACGACCCCTCAAAAGTGCGGCCGTCTGCCCCTTTTACTGGACACCGCACCGGGGACTACATGGACCTCAGCCATGCATCAAACTACTGTTGTGACATTTGTGGGGGACCTGAGCAAGAGCATCGATTCAAAGTGCTTTTTCAAGTTCTGGATGTAAATGGAGATGGGGGGATTTGTATAAATGACTTGACCATTGGTCTTAAAAAACTGGGTGTGCACCGCACCGAACATGAACTGATGGTAAGTGGACACTGCATGTCCTCACATTGGGGTCAAACTGGAACATCGGGTGGTATTTGAAGAGCTAGTTTGAACCATGACCTCCAGTACATTTTATTATTATCTTGAGTGATGACCCCAGATCCCATTTATAACCATCTTTCTCTGAACAGACATGCAACAGATAGATCACAAATTGGTTGAAAAGAGTTTTAAGACTAGATTGAAATCTGAGTAGTAGTACTGTTGGATGCAGTATGCTGCATCTATTTGTAGCAGTCACATAATAGGGAAGGAATACAATTATTGTTTAGCATAATAGTTTGACAAAGTGTTCAAGGAAAATCCAAATATATTAATAATTAACAAAAAATAAACACTGGTTGCACTTACATTGTTTTTTTTATTTTTTATCTTGGATTCCTCTTAGAGGAAGATTATTTTCTTAAAATGTGTTTTCAAAGGGACATTGATCATGGTTTAAGTGAAGAATAATAACATTAATAGTAATAGTATAGTAGTAGTTAATAGTTTTTTGAGGAGGGGTTTGTCTGGCTTCTGACGTAGTTTTGAGGATGACTTGGTCACTAAGCACATTTACTAGGGAAACCCTCTGCATCACACCCCCACCCTCCCTGACTGTTTTATGGTCCTAAAGTAATGGCTCCTAAGCATCTCCTGCTATTGGCCAAGGCACTGGTGCCACTGCTCTCCAGCAGGACCTGTGAGCATCGGAGCCTGGGATTGGTCCGTCTGGGCTGCAGTGAGGATGCAGGTTTCTAGAGCTCTCTCTGCTACAAACCCTGGTTGATACAGAATTAAACTCTTGGTCTCCTCTGCCGCCATTTGACCCATACAATATTCCACCTTGTCAGTCTGTTGGAGGAGTGGTTATCCTGCGGCTATAATATGCTGTGAGTTTTAAGTCAGTCTGTTTTTGATTGTATGTATTTTAAAAAAGGAAAAATCTGTTGAATTGGAAACAACAGGGGAGCAGGGGTGTCCCTGATCAACCTTTTACAACTAGTTTGAGTTCACCTTGTTTCACACAGCACACAGTAGGAACTGTGCTGTTTGCTAGGTATTATGCAGTACAGCCTTAAAGGAATGCTGAATTTATTTTACCAAAGACTTTTTAAGAGAGCCGAATGTAGGCCAGAAGGCATTGATAAAGGTCTGGCTGGGAACAGTGGGGAGCCGACTGCTGACAGTAGTGAAAAAGATGAAAGTAATGCTACCTCAAAGAAGACCACTTTAGTAATAATGATGGCTCCCCATGGAGATCTTCAACAGGTAAGACACACCCCAGACACAGCATCAGTGACACAGTGAAACAGGGGATGCCTTGGTTGGGCCAGTATTGTTTTGTAGATATCAGAGCTTGTGAAGTTTTTTTCTGCTGGTCATCCAGTTGTGTTGAAATTTAGGAATGTAATTTTGTTTAATCTAGGAATTGGTTGGAGTATTCTCTAAATGTGTTAAAATTCACACATGTCACATAATTATAAGTATTCAGACTTTTGCAACTAATGGCCATGAACTCCCCTCTCTCATATGGTTCTTTCCTCTAATGGATCACTCTGGTTGGAGAACCAGCTCTGGGTTTTCAGGTATAGTGCGGCAGTACCTCTCCAAATTAGGGCATATTATGGGAATTTTCCACAGATGGACAGTAATAAAGGACAATAACCATCACAGTCATGATTAAGGGAATTGGTTCTGCAGGAAATGTGAACTGATGTGTATGGTTTAGGTGTTTTTATGAAATTAGAAACCACTAAAAGTAACTTTAAGCCTGTTACTTCACTTGTTTGTGTTTTAAATGTAATTCACTGTACCGTAAATGTGTCATGAATTGAGTGGTCTACAATAATATATTGGGCAGGGCATAGTGATACAGCCTACTGGGCATGTAGCTGGATTGGATTTCAAATTTTGTCTAAACATCCACCACTGTTAAAATGAAACTAAGCCTGACATTCTCACATTCTCTTTTTTTCTTTTTTTTTTTCCAGAAAATTGTAAAAGCCGGAGACAAAGACCTAGATGGGCAGTTGGACTTTTATGAGTTTGTGCATTACCTCCGAGATCATGAAAAAAAACTAAGACTGGTCTTCAAAAGTTTGGACAAGAAAAATGATGGTATAGCATATTTGTGGGTGGTAATTTGATGCCATCATCGCCATTCTAACATTTATTTTTTGACTGCTCAGGACGCATTGATTCACAGGAAATTATGCAGTCTCTGTGTGATCTTGGTGTGCACATCTCTGAAGAACAGGCTGATCAAATTCTCAAAAGGTAAAGGAGTTTCACCATGTTTTCTAGCCCTGTTTGTTCTCATTTAGTTGTGTCTCACGTTTAACACAGATTACCTGTGTGTCCTACTCATTGTGTGTTTTTCTAACCCTCTGACTGTGTGTCTGTCTTTCCACTGTCTGGTCTCAGAATAAGGAGGGGCCATATCTGGGCCCCTATTTTGTAGTAAGTAGTAGTTTTTAAAGTCACAGATTTTTACTCTTTTCAGGGTAATGGCGACTAACCTTTCCGAAATCTGTATGTGTATGTGTCTATTAGGGCCCACACAGGCAATACAAATAATGTAACAAATGCTTTCATTTACAATTGGAACTTTGGCAAAAAATCTATTCAATTAAGACCAAATCAAAGTAATTAGGTATCAATTAAGAAACCCAAATTGTAATTGCATAAGTTAAACATAAAACAGCATACAAGTTTGCTTTGTTTCCCAGCATGGATAAAAATGGCACAATGACAATTGACTGGAACGAGTGGCGAGATTACCACCTTTTGCATCCAGCAGACAACATCCCCGAGATCATCCTGTACTGGAAACACTCCACGGTAATCAGATATTACTGCTTAATATTGAATTGTGTATTGGTGGACATTACAAATGTGCCTTTCTTTTGAAGATTTTTGATGTTGGGGAGAGTTTGATAGTCCCAGATGAGTTTACAGCTGAGGAGAAGAAAACTGGCATGCTATGGCGCCTCCTTGTGGCAGGAGGAGGAGCAGGGGCAGTGTCTCGCACATGTACTGCCCCTCTGGACAGGCTCAAAGTACTCATGCAGGTAAAATGCACAGCCCTGGATAGAATGTTAAATATAAAAATACTATACTAAATATACCATATCTCTAATAGGTTCATGCCTCCAAGAGAAATAGCATGCAGATCGCCAGTGGTTTTTTACAGATGATTCGAGAAGGTGGTGTAAGGTCACTGTGGAGAGGCAATGGCATGAATGTAATAAAAATTGCCCCTGAATCGGCGATCAAGTTTATGGCCTATGAGCAGGTTAGTTACATACAAGCTGGCCCGTATTTACTAGATGCCTTATTAATACTGACTGTTTTTATTTTCAGATTAAACGACTGATTGGAAGTAAACAGGAGACTCTGGGTATCCCAGAGAGGTTTGTGGCTGGCTCTTTGGCTGGGGCAATTGCTCAAAGCAGCATCTACCCCATGGAGGTAAAGCACATATTTGACCCAGATTTACCTACCTCCACAGATCATTATTCTTTGACCACCATCACCATTATTTGGTGCATTTTCTTTTGGTGACTGACCTTATATTTTAATTCCACATTTATCTTTGTACTGAACTATAGTGTAGGACCTTTTTTCTTAAGGAAAACAGATAAGTTAAGAATAAACTGGGACTATATCTGGAACTAAACCTGAACTAGTTCTGGACTAAACCTGGCCTAGTATTGAGTTTACAGTGAAACTGTAAATGTTTGTAGTCTGTGAAGGACATAATTGATATGCAATTAACCTTTACAATTAGTCTTTCATTTATTCAACTGATTAATAACACTAAAGGTGACAAGTTCATTTTATTGTCCTGGACTTTAATGAATGTAATTCTTGTGTCTTTCAGCTTCTGAAGACGCGTTTAGCACTTGGGAAAACGGGACAGTACACAGGCATCTTAGATTGTGCCAGACATATCTTAAAAAAAGAAGGTGTGGCTGCTTTTTATAAAGGTTATGTCCCGAACATGTTGGGCATCATCCCCTATGCTGGGATCGACTTGGCTGTGTATGAAGTAAGTTTTTTATAAGAAGATCTTACCATATGTATACTTGATATAACTCCAAGATCTACTCTTGTCACAGACCTTAAAGAATTCTTGGCTGCAGAGATTTGCGACAGACAGTGCTGATCCAGGCGTGTTTGTGCTTTTAGCATGTGGCACTATGTCTAGTACATGTGGCCAGCTGGCAAGCTACCCATTAGCTTTAGTGCGAACACGAATGCAAGCACAAGGTTGGTGTATGTTAACTTTTAACCATGCATTTTCCTTTTAAATTTAACATGTTTTCTTCTCTTCTGCTCTTTTTTCTTAGCTACTGGTGGAGGCCCACAAATGACCATGACAACCTTGTTTAAACATGTCTTAAAGACAGAGGGCGCTCTGGGGCTCTACAGAGGTTTGGCCCCCAACTTTATGAAGGTCATTCCATCTGTTAGCATCAGCTACGTGGTCTACGAGTATCTCAAGAAAACATTAGGGGTCCAGTCTAAGTGAGAAAAACACAAGGTTGAGATGTGGATTTTGTTTGCTAATGCTTTTGTGTTTTTAAACCATTATGATCTGGATTCCTGATCCTTAAAATGATAAAAAGATGAATAGACTAAGATCTACCCTTTAGTTGGGAAGAAAAGGAAAGAAAGAATCTTGGCAGCTCATCGTTGTGAAAAGTCAATGTTTACATTTAAAACAAAATAGAGGCTTACTGTTATTATACAGTAATATGCACTTGCTGGGTTTGGGCACTGATAATGCTGGTGTTGTCTAGGAAGAGTTGTCAAAGGCTGCAGACAGCTACCAACAATTACAGAACTTTTGAAAGTTGTAAAACACAGTTATGCTTACCTTCCATCTCTCTTTAAGAGACATCCAAAATGGAGCAAAAACCCCAAAACAACACACAAGTCTTTAAGAAGTAGCTAATATGAAAGATAAAACTTTATTTATCCTTCTTTAATATTATTTGCAAATGGCAAATAATGTCTAATGTTCCAGCGAAGCATGTTTAAATTGCATCTCTGCAGATGTTTGCAGATTAGTGGATAATTAATTTAGTATTTAAAAATTTATTAAGATTATGTACATTCTAGAATTTGCATGTATTGCAAGAAAATCATAATGTAGACATTTGATATTCATCAACATCAACTTGGAGGAAAGTTTCTTGAAGGACTTAATGTTTTACGGTTTTCTGAAACAACGTCCAGGAGCAGAGGAAGCACTCCGAACATACTGTCTTAATGTCACAGATTTCTACCAGTGCCTTGTGTTAGCAGAGAAGGGAAAAGTCTGGGACATTGATTGCACTTTAAGATATCTGTTTTGTCTTTATTATCTTTTATATATATTTAATATTTATTGTTATTTATTTAAAAAGGTTGAAGACTAAATCAGTTGGTTGACAGTGCTTTCAGGTGACCAAGGCTCATCAGTAGTAATACTGTATAATGTTAGCCTTTACATTTGCCATAGCTGAACCCCGCCTCTGCTCTTCCACAAGTGTGACTTCAGTTATTGTGCAAAAGACCATTTAGCTTTACTTATAGGTTCAGGAGTGAGATACAGTGTTGTCTGTATGTCTGACACAGCCCTTGACTATTATAAAAATTTTGTATATCAACAACATACTCCTGATATCCTTTACAAATCAGTCTGGATCAGAGGAAACTGCTGGATACAGGAGCACTGCTTAATATGATGTAGTTTGAATAATGCAGATATATATATATTTGTATTTATTTTATTTAGATGTGTACATAGAAGTAATGCATAAATTATGTATGAAAGGTGGACACAAATGACTGTTCTCATGTATTGCTGAAGATAAAGATAACTTAAAAAGTTTGTTGTTTACTTTTTCTTTTTTTTTTTACCTTAAATAATTTGCGTACACACATTTTTAACAAGCATACCAGATAACTAAATGGTCTGCTATTTGTAACTCTCTTGATAATTTTTGCAGAGTATTTTGCTGTTAGCGTTTAGTTTTAAAACAGGAATATAAGCTAATGAGTTGTGGCTCCTTCAATGGTAAGAAACGCTGAATAATAGTGTATTCAGAGTCAGTTCCTCTGCACTCAGGTTAGCTGAGCACATCTGTGTGTTTAGGAGCCACAGTCACGAGTTTGACAGTCACTTCCTTTACACTACTCCACACAGCGGCGCGTCTACAGCACTAGTCAGCATTCTTTAGTCTCACATCTCTGTAGTTTTCTGATGTTAGCACCCACTGAAGCAAAAAGAACAATGCTTTCGCTGGAGGAGGTAAAGCAGAGTTTAGAAGAGGCGGATCAGGCGCACGTTCTGCAGTTTTGGCCGGAGTTAAATGAAGCCCAGCGAGAGATTTTTCTTCACGAGCTTTCCCAGTTGGATCTGTCGGGACTGAAGGAGCACTGTGAGGGGGCCGCCAGAGCTGCAGCCTCTGATCCGGCCAGTCTGGATGAACTCATGGAGCCTGTGCCCGCAGAGTTTATAGGCAGCGCGAGGAACAGCGACAAAACCTCCCTGGCACAGTGGGAAAATGAAGGTAGGCATCAAGCAATTTAAGGGGCGTTACTGAAACTTGTTTGTTTGACAGGTCTACATAGTACGAAATACATCTATTATCAATCTATTTAGATTTGTTTTCAGCGCACGAATAATACTTGCTGCCTTTTCAATTGCAGGACTTTGGCATATCTCCAAAAATCGAGTTGGAGTCCTTCTTTTGGCTGGTGGTCAAGGGACCCGCCTAGGTGTTCAGTACCCCAAGGGGATGTATAACGTGGGGTTGCCCAGTGGTAAAACCTTATACCAAATACAGGCTGAACGCCTTCACAAAATTCAAGAACTTGCAGAGTCAAAGCATGGAACAAAATGTATTATACCATGGTAAGATAGGTGAATAAAGAATTATCTTATTTCTCATTCTCAGAATATGACATTTGTGATCTTTTTGCTTTTTTGTCCTGACTGTTGGTAAACTTTAGGTACATAATGACAAGTGAGTTTACACTTACTCCCACTGAGAAGTTCTTCAAAGAAAACAACTACTTTGGCCTTGACCCTCTGAACATCAACATGTTCGAGCAGAGAATGATCCCAGCAGTGACGTTTGATGGGAAAGTCATCCTCCAGGGAAAAGGGAAAATTGCTATGGCCCCAGGTATTTTTATTTTAGCCTATATTGTTTTTGAAATAGAAGAAAGAAAATCACTACAATAACAGTGTGATTTTTTTTTTTAAGATGGAAATGGTGGGCTATACCAAGCTCTGGTAGACCACAATGTACTGGAGGACATGAAGAAAAGAGGAGTGGAGTATTTACATGTCTACTGTGTAGACAACATCATGGTCAAGATGGCTGACCCAGTGTTCATTGGATTCTGTGCCAGTAAAGGGGCTGACTGTGGAGCCAAGGTATGGCTTATATAATAATTATATAATAAATAATGTTGTAGGCACAGAACAGTCTTTATACAGCCTCTCTGATCAGGTGGTGGAGAAGGCGTACCCCACAGAGCCTGTGGGGGTTGTGTGCAGAGTGCAGGGGGTGGCTCAAGTGGTAGAGTACAGTGAGATCCTACAGACCACAGCTGAGCTCAGAGGGCCCTCTGGGGAGTTGGTATACAGTGCAGGCAATATCTGCAATCACTTCTTTACTCGACAATTCCTGGAGGATGTGACAATGTAAGATATTCAAATGCACAATGCTTTGTATGTTAGTATTTGTAAGACTTCAAGTTATTCTGTTAACTACTAACAGTACACTCACTGTTCTGCATGCATATGTTCTTTTAAAAAATACAGTGGCAGTATTTTTTATTGCAGGAAGTCTAAAATACACCTAAAGCAACATGTTGCAATTAAGAAGGTGCCTTTTGTTGATCAATGTGGAAATGAAGTTAAACCGACCAAACCCAACGGTATAAAAATGGAAAAGTTTGTTTTTGACATCTTTCCATTTTCCAGGTATGTGCCCCATGATAGACCTCCTATGATTTTCCTATCTTTCAGTTTGAAACCTAATTAATTTACTGTACTATGTTTATTGAAGGAGCTTTGTGGTGTTTGAGGTTGTGAGGGAGGATGAGTTCTCGCCTCTAAAAAATGCTGATGGAGCGGCTACAGACAATCCCTCTACGGCCCGCAACGCCCTGATGCACCTGCACAGTCGCTGGGTCACTGCTGCTGGGGCCACCCTACTGAACGAACATGGAAATGCTGTTCTCTCTGCCAGGTTTGTGCTAAAATAATGTTAAATGATGCATTTAAATGTCTAGATAACACATAATTACAGGCCAATAAGCAAGGCTGTATTATTTATTTGTAGTGAGTCAACTACAATGACCAATGCTCCAACTAAATTTGAGATTTCTCCTTTGGTGTCCTACTTTGGAGAGGTGAGATTAGTCCTGTTCTTACATGTATAAATTGAAGATATTATTTACAATAAAATACTTTCATTTGGGTTTTTTTAGGGTCTAGACAAGCTGAAAGGAAAGATTTACCAAACTCCTTTTTATCTGGACAACGATCTATAATACTTCATTATATTGCATTCTTTTGTGCCTTAGAACTCAAATTCCATTTGTGTCTTCGGTGTTTGTGTTGCTAAATGTGTGAAGATGCTGACAGTGAAATCTTAATTGGTGCAAATGCAATGCAAATTATAAAAGAGACAGTTTTGTATTTTAACTTCTACCATAATATATATTTTTTATGTAAATTGGACATAATATAACTATAAAAAATAAATCTATATTCATATTGTATATCAAGGTTATGTTATTTATGAATTCTGTGATTCATATAACTGTTGGTGGTGTATAAATGGAACAACAATGCTGGCCACTATAAAGTGAAGGCTGATTTAAGAGGGGTGAAGTTATTCGAGGACTACACTTTTTAGTCTTGCTTCTTGCCCTCTTGTTTCATATTAGTTTTAGACTAACTTTAGAGAGATAAGTTCTTTTGATGTGGCGTCACCAAGGAGACAGTGGGAGGAGTCCTGTGAAGTTTTACCCCAGGAGCTCATCTAAGACCGACCAAAAGAAAAGATTTGAGAACTCCAAAGAAAAGACATGTGCGCCAGTGAGAGCCAGCTGTGGCCGAAGTCAGCAAGGTATTTTATGTTTTATAAAGATAATTACCAATAAGGAGCTTTGTTTGTCAATCACAGCCAGAGTCTATGATCACAGCGCTCATTATGTCCTTACCGGTTTGGGGCTTGTTTTTCAGTCGATTGTCTGCAGAGGGCAGTGTTGCAATCTTTGAAAATAGCATTTTTGATTGGAGCAATAGTTTCTTTGAAATAAAGAACATGTGTCAAGATGAAGAAAGGCTGACTACAAAATGTGACGAACGCAAAAAGGTTAGTAGTTTTAGATGTTTTAGGGTACTTTTGTGGTTTTGCGTGCCAACATGAATGCTTTTGATTGAAGATCCTGGAAAGTATAAAGTCACGCAAAGATATGATTCACAGAGAGATTGCTCATCTTAAGAAACAACACTTGAGCCATAATGTTTTTCTTAAGGTATAAAGAGTATTTTTTCTACTCTTTAACATAAGCGTAACTAAACGTATCCTCTAATGCAATTCTGTATGTAGTCCAAAGTTACAGATCAAATGTTAAAGAAAGCACAGTGTAAAATGAAAGAGGTTCTGTTCATGGAGGCAGAGAGAGAGAGATTGGCCGAAGAGCTAGCGCAACTGCAGCAGAAGAAGTCTGAGCTGGAGCAGCAGGTGGTCAGCCATTCCGTGTTTCATGACTTTTTGGACCAAGTGGTCAAACTATCCAAGGTAACTTTCAGCCGACTGTTCTAATCTGCATTTTTCTAACATGGCTCAAAAACAACCTAATCAAGATTTAAAGATTAAATTAAACGTTAGACTGCACATTTCAAAGAGTTAGCTAACACAGTTATACTTAAGATTTTATGAAAAATCGTGTTTTTGTTTTTTTTAAATTGTGGTGATGTTTATAATTCCTGGTTAGACACATGTATCAGACATAACATAGAGATAATTCCACAACATTTACCTAGCTAGCAACCACAATGTTAACAAGGGTTTAAATTCACACAACTCCAAATATGTTTTTGTTGCGGAAACAACATTCAGAAAATAGCATATAGGCCCTTTAACCGTTTAATGTAAAATATGATATATATTTACCGCAGGTACTGCTATCCAGCCAAATAACAATTTGTCATTTGCACTTTAAGCTTAGGCTATGCTATATGAATCTTCAACATTACCTGAGTTGGTGATTCTGTATTCCAGCCTTTTTTTTACATTGTACAGTGCATTGTAGGCTCAAGTGATGTCTGTGTAATGCAGTTTGAAGAAGTGAGGGAGCAGGCGAATCATTTTGAGAGTCTTCTCCACTTCAGAGACCAGCTCTCTCAAAGAGACAATAATGATCAGGACCGAATCAACAAACTCAGGTCAGAACTTGTGACTCTAGAGGATCAAAGTCACCTCATGATGACGCACAGGAGGAACCAGCTGTCCCATTTGCAGATTGAGTTAGAGAGAACTCGCTCAGAAGCTTTCATATGGGTAACCTACAAAATTTCTATCCAGATATAACCTTGGTAGAATAACATTTTGAGTTCTGAATATTTTTTACTCAGGAACAGAAATGGAACCACATTGAAGAAACGGCTGCAAAGAAAACACTCCTTTTGGGGAAAATAAAAATGGCCATTCTCAACCTGTATGAAATGAGTGGCCAGCCTTTGGACAGTTTAGGAAATAGTGTAGACGAGAATGACCCAGACACACAGCTAAAGAAGGTATGTTCAAACAAAAAATGTATCTTCTGTCAAAACTGAAATCAACAGCTATTTACATTTCTCATTTCAGATCCAGGAATTTATTCTGGACCATAATGACATTGTGGAACAAAACCTAGCTAAAGAACAAAACATGCCTGACAACTCACACAAGTGAGAACAGGCAGCCTTCAGCATCTTTGCAAATATTCTGTACAAAATTGAACTCAGCAAGCCTAATTTTCATATGCAAAGATCAAGCCAAACAGGTCCTTCATGCTTCTCGATCCACTCAGGCTGCTTTGCAGCTACATCTTCAGATTTCCAGTGTAGTCCTTTTTTTCAGGGCCTTTGTCTGGCCTGGTTTTTGACAGTGTTAGTCAGTTTTCACTTTTCAAGACCTCATTTTTGACTGTTCAGTTAAGAATGCTCTGACAGAGATCACCTGAACTTGAACTGCTTTTGTACTTATTATTACCTATTAAAATGTTTTGTTTTCTCAATAAATGTAATGTAATTATTTTGGGTTATTTAAACGACTATTTACTCTCTCTCTCCAACCACCACAAAATGGACACAAATTGTCCAGGCTATTTATTATTTATTTGTTTTGTTTTATTTTATTTTTGTAGCTTTATGTCTCTCTAGGCTACAGTACCTCAAAAGTCACGTGAGCTGCTCAGCCAATTGCAGTCGAGTCTGTGAAGGAGCAACAACACAACACAAATGCCTCAAATACATTTACGCTGAATGAAAGAAAGAGGACGGTTCGGGTTCACCTCGCGTTGTTGTCACTTTTTCCTTCAGCCGAAGTGTGAATTCCATTTCTAGATATTTAATGAACATTTATCTCCAAATAGTTTAAAGTCATTGTTTACTGGCGTGCGAATTTTAGTGGCGGAGGCTATTGCAAACCGCGCCAATATACACAACCGACACCGGTTTCTCTTTGTATTTTTGCTTTATTACTAATGATACTGTGTTTTGGATTTTGTACATTATTATTAAGGCTGAACTGCACTGTGCATGGGCCCGCGGTCAACTCCACTCTGGCCGCAGCGAGTCCCTGTCCTGTCGGTCTATACTTCCACACAGGGATTGCGACGGACACTGTAATATGCTAGGACCATGTTCAAAAATGTTTTTGGTTCGGGATTTTTGGTAAGAACAGCCCATGTGATTCTAACATGGGTCATTACCCTCATACTCTTTCTACATGACACAGGTAAGCTTTACACTGCATTGAGTCTTGACACCAATACAGTCCTTCTAACCAATGTGTATTAGTGACTGATGTTTAGGTGCTAATACTTTTTTGTAACAGAACTAAGGAAGCAGGAGGAGACGGGTCAGCTGGCCCAGCCAGTGCTCTTCGTCTTGCTGGTGCTGGTGTCAGTGCTGCTGTATTTTGCAGTGTCTCTGATGGATCCGGGCTTCATCCTCTCTGATGACAGTGACATGCAGGTGAGATGAGCTTACATCATATGTTATGATATGATTCAAAGTTGGTTTACTAGATTTTTTTTTCTTGTGGCAGTTTACACTGGGAGTGACTGAGGAGCAGCAGGACATGATCCCACAGACCACAAAATCGTTGCGCCAGCGCCGATGTGGCCACTGTCTGCTTCAGGTGAGGTTTCTTATATGCTAAGCGCACATTAATTGTTTAAAAAACTATGTATGTATGCCAAGCTTGTTCACCTCCTTACATGTCTGACATACTTGTTAACCTATATCAATGAAATTTAACTCCTGCCCTATAGAACGCTTAGGATTCCAAAGAGGTATTGAATGACAGCTGCTAAGCTTAAGAGTATAGTTGTATGTTACAGAACTCCCTGTCTGTTGTAAAGACATTGTTTTAATGCCATGAATAGTAACAATATAAATTAGGCTTGTTAGAAAAAGACTCATGAACACATGGCAAAGAAGTTTTTTAAGATAAAAAAAATAATTAAAAAAATTAGAGAGTATGTATGTATGTATGTATTGAAGATCTGACAACCTTGCTGACACCATCAAACAAATTCAACCAGTTTTTGTGTTTTTTCAAGGACTTAACTCTGTTGAGTTTTTTTGTTATGTTCGATTAATAGAACTGCTATTGTGATAATATTTGTTAAGCAGCAACCAATGAGATCAAAGCACTGCCAGACATGTCAACACTGTGTCAGGCGGTATGATCATCACTGTCCCTGGATTGAAAACTGTGTTGGCGAGCGAAACCACCGCTGGTTTGTGCTCTACCTGGTCATTCAACTGATTGTGCTGCTGTGGGGACTGCACATTGCCTTGTGAGTTGAGTAAATTGAAGTTTACAAAGCCCCTTCAGGTTGCTGATCATTCTTTTGTTTTAGGACGGGGTTCAGTTACGGACCCACCTGGGAGCTGTGGCTGCGCTCCAATGGCATGCTGCTAGCTGTGGCTGTGCTGGTGGCTGTCTTGTCCCTTATTGTTCTTCTGCTACTTGGCTCACATCTCTACCTGGTTTCTCTCAATACCACCACCTGGGAGTTCATGTCTCGACACCGGATCTCATACCTCAAGCACTGTGGAGCCGATGAAAACCCGTTTGATCGAGGACCTTTGCACAACCTGTGGGTTTTCTTCTGTGTCTGGGGCACAGTGGTGTGGGAGCAGGTGTATTTCAGGGAGGGGACTGACCAGGTTTAATAGTATCATCCAAAGACTAAACAACATTTTTTTTGCCCAATATGTCAAATAGGATTTAGACACTTGACTTGTCAGAGGTTTCCTCTGCATCGGTGCTAATGTGCCATAATGATGTAAATGATTTATCTACCTTCAGTGTGAAGTTCTACAATTGTATGCTTGTTTGTGTTGCCATCAGGAATTTTGTCTCTTCCCTCTCCTAGTGGTCGTTTGGTGTCTTTATTTACAGGCACTATCGCAGGTCAAAAAATATTTAATATAATATTTATCTAATTATCTATTTATCTTTGAGATTCATGCCTAAAAAATAAGGAAACAAATAAACTTGACCGCAACAGTTATTACATGGCCCTTTTACTCATTGAAGTAGTTATCTTTATTATCCAATTCATTGACTGTTCCATTTTTTGGAAGTTTATATGCATTATAATATTACATCACACATTCTGTGTGCTAGTGTAGGCAATCTGATACATTTAACTGCTTTGATACATGTAAAGAAATACTTTAAAATATTGTGAGGTAATGTCAAGTCATGTACAGTTAACAGTATTTACAATAAAGTGAAGCTATAATTTTTTAATTGTTTAATGTTTACTCAACATTTATGACTTAAACTTTTGATAGTTAGCACAATTTATATATACACCACACCATTTTGAAACCTTTTGGTATTTTTTGCTGTTTGTATCTTTATTAAAGTTAGCTCCCACAATACAGGTTATTTATTTGAATGCAATAGATTTTGCTTCACAGTAGCTTGTGCAATAAACTTTGTAATAGAGCAATAAATGTAAATGTGTTGTGTAACATTTTATAGCTGCAGTACTTATGTATACGATGTATGCAATCCTGTCTGCATTACTTTCAACTGTCCACAATAAATTCATGTTTTCAGTAAGTTGTGTTTAAACAGTTACAAGTTTATTAAATTTCCTCCATGTAGAAAATATAGATTTGATGAAAATATGAGTACAAAAACATTAAGAGATTATATAATTATATACATATTATATAACATTTTATTTATATAATATATATATTATATATATATGTGTGTATATATATATATATATATATATACATACATACACACATATATATATACACACACACACATATATATATATATATATATTACACACACACATATATATATATATATACACATACTTGATGCACTATTGATATAAACTTAATTTACATGTCCACAATATACACTAGAATAATTAAAATAGAAGCACATCTCATATTCAAGACATCAACCCGTTTAAAATCACTGCACTTGTGACAAGCCATTATTGCATATTTAAATGTATGTTATAAAGAATGAAGATAGAAAATATATAA